CTTCAATTTTAACCTATAGTCACAGCCCTCTGTTCACTAGAAAACTGCATGTGTGTATCCAACTTTGAAAGGTAGCCATATAAATGAAAGCCTTACAGGAACAGAGATATAAAGTGCAGCAGAGCATGTGGAACTGAGGATGAGGTCTTAATACTGTTACTGGATTACTTGGGAGGAAACCTAGGATCTTAAAACTGTTTTCTGCACCCCTCCACCGTTGCAAGAAATCAGGCATTTCAGATTAATTTACCTTATTTTGGGAAATTCTCCTCCTCCTTACTTCAAAGCAAATATTACCTCATCATCACATGCTAGACAACATACCAAGGGAAAAAGTCTTTTCAGACCAAAATACAACTATCAGTTTTTGCACGAGGCAACATCACCAGTGTCTCACAATGACTCATCATGCTTCTGATCCACTTTATACCTGAGGCAGAGCTTGCTACCAAATAATCACAAATACTGTTTGTTTTCTCAACTATGACTATATAATGACACCTGAAAGATGAAAAAGTTCTTGTATAATAGTAGATGGCCATACATAATAAAAGGAAGAGGATTTGCAGTTTGCAGAAATTATCTTTTCCAATAACAGTCATTTGTTGACACACTGTAATTTGTTAGCTATATTTATGAGATCTCAGAAGTATTTCAGAGCAGGTGAATCCATTAGAAAGCCTTTTCCTTTTTGTGGAAACATTCCCTAGTTTTTTACCCTTTGTGTCTCAAAGAAAATTAAACAAAAAACAACAGCAAATTTCATTTAGTATTTCTTGGCATGCAGAAATAAATCCAAGCATTCTTTCCTTTACATAGTAGGAGAAAATGAGGAAACGGGCAATAATTGGACAGAATGGACAGAACATTCTTATTTAAGGGGCAGAATTATCAGCAGGTGCCCGTTGGCTCTCATTTGCTCTAGCAAGGATTAAAGTAGAACATCAGAAGATTAACAAATATCAGAATTTCAGATGTGCAAAAGATGAAAGCTTTGTAGGATAATACAAATATTAACTTGTTACCAAAACCTTCTAAGAACAAAATGCTGATTCTAGAAATGTAACTTTTATGGCTGTTTAGGAAATTGCAGAAAGGGCATGGGGATACATGGATGCCCCAGAGCTCATCATAGCAAGGACAGCTTTCAAAAAGAAAAAAAAGTTTAAAAAATCCAAGTGCTGTTTCCAGCCCTGCATGAGGAGAGGTCCAAAAGGCCAGCTCATAGTCCACCCACCATTACCCATGCACACTGCTGGCAGCAGCTTGGCACTGGTCCTATAGACTCAGCAGCAATGCCAAAAATGAACAAAAATCTTGCAGGAGCTTCCCTGCTTGTCTCTCTCCACTGATATATCAAGGCTGGAGATAAGAGACAGCATCAGGTTCCACGTGGGATTTCTCAGCAGGGCTCCTCTCCCATTTCAGATCTGAGAGACTGTGGTGATTTGTATCTTTGAATGTGTTTTTCCCTTCACTTTCCTTTTAATGATGCTGAAGAAAGGAGTGTCAACACAAAGGAAGATGTATCTGTCACTCGGCACCGCTCTGGTTTCTGGCAGCAGTCAGGCTGCTGCTTGGAGCTGGCTGGAAAAATTACTGTGGTTGGTTTTCTTGTTGGTTTTCTGAGGAAGGAAAAAACTGCCAGCACTGATATCTGATGTAACTCAGAGCACACAAAGCCATAAAGAAAAAAATGTTCCCAGAGATTTTTCTCAAAAACCTGAAACTTTCCAAATGTGCTGCTTGAAAGTGCCTTCTCTTGCCTGGCTGTACCCTGCATCCCAGGGACCTCAGTGGCCTGGACCTGGAGATGAACACCATCTCTTCTTAGAGGTCCATGTGGGAATCTTGGGATGCACCATGGGAGATGTCAGTCAAGGGTACACAGCTCATAAAGTGTGTTCTACCCAGTTTCAGTCTCCAGAAGTCACAGAATGGATGAGGTTGGAGGTGCTTCTGGCAAACATCAGTCCAGTCCATGCTCAGAGCAGAGTCAGCCACTGTGGGTTTCTCAGAGCCGTGTCCAGTCAGATTTTGAGTAGCTCCAAGGATGGAGATCCTACAACCTCTCTGAGCTACCTGTATCCAATGCTTGGTCTGCCTCACAGTAGAGAAGCCAGTCATGCTGACAACACTTCTAAAATAAAAACCAAGAATTATTAACCTCTTCACGTTCTCCCTCCAACTCTCCCTCTCTTTCTCTCTTTTTTTTTTCTTTTCTTTTTTTTTTCTTAAGGAAAGAAAGATATGCAACTTTTTTTTATAAAAATAAACCATTCTTTTAAAGGTCACTTTTTTGTTTTCCTCCTCAAACTCTCTACAAGGACACTTTGGGAATAGTCCCACTGCTTCTGTCTTTGTGCCAGTGCAGCAGCTGCTGTGGGTTGCATTGCACTGTTGACAGAAGGATTGGTGATACTGTTGACCATTATTAACTATTTGTTTAGCACCTGGCAAATGCACTCAGGCTCTGCCTGCTGGGCACTGCCCAAATAAACCACAAAGAACACAACCTGTCTTCAAAGAAGGTGTTATTTACCTGTTAAACAGTCAGCTGCAAAGAAATGGAGGGAGAGGAGCACAAGCTTTTGTGCTGATCTCTGAACTTCAGCATCATTGCTTCCCCCATTGCATCTGTACATGGGAGGGGAGTGAGATCTGGGCTGTGCTACCCAAGGGTATTGGCTGATCAAATGGACAGAGATGTCCTGTAGATGTGACCTGTTCTGGAGCCCTATGAAATCACTCTGGTCCCCGTTGGGTTCTCTATTCATTTTTTTTAAAGCTGCAGTAGAAGTGCACTTAAGAATTAATATTTTTTTCAGAAGGACATACTTTTCAAAATGCTTAAGAAATACTCATTTGCATTTTTCAGTTGTGGTGTTTTTCAGTCAGCAAAATGAGCTTAAAAGAAAAAGGAGCAAGTGCACAGTTATGTGTTCCTGTAGAAAAATCATTTTCCATTGAAAAGGCATACTTTCAAGTCTACAAACAGGGGATTTCTTTTCCCGATACTGTTTCCCAAATAGGTAAAAAAAGGAAGAAAACTTGTGATTTCACCAGAGGAAGAAAATGTTGTGTTTAAGGACGCAGGTGTCAGTTTTGAAAGGTGTCCAAAACTTTTGGGGCAGTCCAGCACTTGCCATTCTAAATGCCACCACTGGGAAGAATGCCAGAAAAAATTAAGAAGGGACATGAGGGGCAGAGTCAAAAACTTAGCACGTGAAAATCATGCCTTTGGAGAAGGAACTGCTTTTCTGGAGCAGAAACCCAGCTCTAAGGACACTAGTGCTGACTTCAGCTTCTAGACAGGAGGGTGTTTTGGAGGGCTGTGGTGGAGACCTCCCTTCCCCTCTCCACAGCATCCCAAGCAATGCCAGTGGGTGCCGGAGCCCAGCCCTGGTGCTCGCTGCAGGCAGGAGGCAGCATCACACAGGCTGATTTGGAGCCATGGAGGTGATTGGGAAGCAGGAGCTGGTACCCACGTACCCACTGAGGTGTAGGTGGGCACATAAATCCAGCCTCAGGATCAAAGGTGTCTCCTCCCACAGGGAGCAACCGGGAACTCCGTGTAGGCTTGTTTGCAGCAGTGCTGCTGCATCTGCCTGTGAATGCAGATGGGGAAATCAAACATCTCACTCACTCTTTCCCAAGGAGGAGAGGCAGGGCTGAGCATGCAGCCCTTGCCTTGGCACAGGCACTGTTTAGGTCCTTCTCAGATACTCAGAGTGTGCAGACCATATGTTACATCCCAGCTTTCTCTCTTCTGTTTACTTCTATCCATTTTCCCATGTGCCATCAGCCCTGAAGCTCTTTTTTCTCTGCTAGTCTCTCTTGGCCAGCAGACTGTAATTCCTAGGTCATCTTCAAAGGAGATGCAGAGCAGTAAAATCCAAGCCCTGGGGTGATGCTGTAAGCTTATCCTCCAGCAAAACCTGGAGGAGCCTTGTCTTTCAAGGCAGCATTTGAAGTGTTCTTTGAAACACAAAACCATTTACCAGGTTGCAACACAGCTATTCCCCTTGGTCCATGAAGTAAAGCACATGTAAATTTGTAGTGTAGGGGAGGGACACAGTTTTTTCATGGGTTAACATACTGGTTTTTTGTTACTGCACTTCTGGATGAGAGCAGTCAGCTGCAGGTCATGGCTCTGCACGTTGTGACCTAATGAAGAAAAACTCAGAGGGAGGATCAGGCATCTTTGGTGTAAACTGTCCAGCAAAGGCGTGCTCTCTCGAAAGCAAAAAGCATCAAATAACAGGAAATCATTTTTTCCATCAACATGTAGCCTGAAAGCACTTTTCTTTTTGACTCCTATCCACATTTCTGTTTCTCGGCCAGGTGATTTCCTGCCACCTCCTCTAAGCTTTTCTACTCTCTGGTATTTTTTGACAGCAAATGTGAATACTGATATATTCCTGTAGCTCAGCCATCTAGCTTAAAACTGTATTATTTTTTGTATTTCACTGGAAAACATGGTGTCAAACAATAGCCACAGAAATGCAAGCACCCTCAAATGAACTTCTATCTACATGCAAATAAGAGTTTATTGGAGATTGCAAACTACATAAAATAATTTTGACCGGTCTCATGTAAAGGTGCCTGGAGTGATACCTTGCAACAGTCTTGGGCCCATTCCAGCAAGATTTGATTTAATCCATGCTGCAGTTAGTGTTTTCCTTGGAACTGCAGTGTTCTTCTCAGAAAGATGTTCAGGTTCCATCTCATATTTACTGAGTAGATGCCAATTAGGCTTTTGTTCAGAGATGTTGACAAGGCCAGTGTTGTAGGTATTTAAACAGAAAACAACCAAAAAAAAACACAAGCCAGAGAAGTTCTTGCTGGCAGTTCAGAAATGCTCGCTCAGGGTCATGGCGTGTTTGTCTCAGATTCTGAGCTGTTACTTGCCTCCAACTCAGATCTCTCATCTTGCAGTGCAATTATTCTGTAGAAGGTCAAAAAAAGAATTAGATTTTTTTTCTGTTCTCTCCAAGCAGCTCCAAGACGTGGCGAAAGAGCTCTCAGGATGCCAGAGCCAGCAAAGTCAACCTCAGCTCCCAAAAAGGGCTCCAAGAAAGCCGTGACAAAGACCCAGAAGAAGGGTGATAAGAAGCGTCACAAAAGCAGGAAAGAGAGCTACTCCATCTATGTCTACAAGGTGCTGAAGCAGGTCCATCCTGACACGGGCATCTCCTCCAAGGCCATGGGCATCATGAACTCCTTTGTCAATGACATCTTTGAGCGCATTGCTGGGGAAGCCTCCCGCCTGGCCCATTACAACAAGCGTTCCACCATCACATCCCGGGAGATCCAGACGGCCGTGCGCCTGCTGCTGCCCGGGGAGCTGGCCAAGCACGCGGTCTCAGAGGGCACCAAGGCTGTCACCAAGTACACCAGCTCCAAATAGCCAACGTCCCCTGTGCAGCGGGACCGTCGAGCTCCGGGCCCTGCACGCCAGCACGGGTAGGCAGCCATGGTCTGGGTGAATGGTCACAGCTATTATCCACAGCAATTCGCAGCCTGGGCATGGCCCAGAGGAAGAGGAGACAGCAATCTGGATGTCGGCTGATTTTCATCATCTGTTCAGGATGTGGGAAGGATTTGCCAAGGTTGGTAGTGGAGGCCCCTGCTTTTATTTTACATCTCATTCAAAGGACTGACCAGCCGTGGTATATCCTCTCCTCTGTGCTTGGCAAGCATTCATGTTTGGCACTGGGAGGGGGGACTGGCAGCAGCAACACAGAGACACCATCACTGAAGTCTTCCTGTTTGACTGCTTTCTCACAGTCATCTGATATGGGTACTGAAGAGTCAGCGCTGCATCCTCTCTCTCAGAGCCTGAATCCCTCCTGGTGTGCAGTGGCTTAGCCCACCCTGTGCTGGCAGAAGTGGCATCAACAGCTACCAGGCACATATTGATTCAACAGCTATCTGCTTGACAGCCTGTTTTAAAGAGCAAGCCTGGCAGGCAGGCAGATGCCCACGTTGATACCAAGCACTAATCCTCCTCCTTGCTCCTGATGGATGAGCCATGGAGCAGGATGAGGGTGCTGGTGCTGGAGCTGCCTCCCACCTTGTGCTGAGGTGGAGGGATGAACAAGGTGGGATGCTGGGAGTGGGTCTCTGTCTTTCCTGGCTGCTGCTTTGCCTGCCTTAGGACTTGCTTTAGCATGCAAGACATTGCTAATTCTGCTGCTTTTCAGAGACTTTTCCTGCCTTGATGCTGCCTGGGTTTTCCCTTCCACCATAAGTGTGGGCAAGATGGGGTGGTGCCCAAGGGGGTCCCCTCTCCTGTGAGCAATAGAGTGGTACAGGGCAAACAGCACAGACGTTTTGGGCAGGGACTGAGGATTTGGGAAGGCATCTGGTGTGGGAGCACAGTGGTTAGTGCATTTTGAGGGGTGGGAGGAAGCTGGCTCCCCACAGAGATCACTGCAGGCAGCTTGCCTGGCCCTGTCCTCCCTAATTCATTCAGCAGTTAGAAAGCAAAAGCAAAATTGGGGGCTGGGTGGATGTATAGGGACACTTGCCTGCATCCCAGACATTTAAAAGATTAAATAGTTTTAAACTACTTCAGATACTCCCCATATCTTTTCAAAGTCCACAGTAAGGTGAGCAATAATAAAATCATGATAAAGCCATAGAGGTTAAGGGAGGAATGCCTTTGTTACAGGTTTATCTTGCCCAGACTGCTGGATAGCAGAAGGGCCTGTGTAGAACTGGTGTGAAGTTGAAGCTTCCTACTCAAAACACAAAATTAGCCAACATTAAAAAAAAATCAAAGCCTCTGGTAGGCAGTAACACTGAAATAAAAAAGATTCATGTCTAAAATAACGACAGCTTTCTGCAACTTACTCTGTAAATAAAAGGAGCAGCAAGGAAATAGGATCCAGAACCATGTGCAGATTCTCCCTGAGCTTCAGGACCTTGTTTTTAATTAAAAGGTAAATTCATATCCCAAAATAGCAGCCATGCAGTACATTTCTAGCTTTCCCCTGCATTTATCTCTATCCTGTTTCTTTACACTTTTGAGAGTGATTGGGACCTTTGGCAAATTTATGTTGTTTTTGGAGCTGTGGGGCTCTGCAGCTCCAGAGGATTCACACTGCAGTCATTTTTCCAGTTGGTCTGAGGCACAGCGGGCTCGGAAGCCTGAGAGCAGCCTGGCTCTTGTGTGGTCTGTGTGCAGGAGTGTTTTTGGCCAGTTTGCTTCTGGGCTGCTCACACACCCCTGCTCTGGGTGTGAGCACCCCACACTGGAGAGGGGGCTTTCCTCCCACCCTCTGCCCTGAGATACCCCACAGCTGTGTCTCACAGCCCAGTGCCAGAAGGAATCTCTGCTGACAGCTCTCAGAAAGAGCAAAGCCCAGCTCCCTGGGTGCCAGCACCCACAGGGAGCAGCTCCCAGCAGCAGCACCTGTATTCCGTATCAGTACCATTGGTAACCTGGGCCTCTTGGCCAGGACACTTTGCAGGTGACAGCTCAGTACTTCCTTTTGTTTCCAATCAAATAGTCAAAATCAGACACCAAAGATTAACATGGACCTGCAGTGGACCTAGAGCCACCATCCTTGGCACCTCTGCCACAAGAAATCCGGGCAGTGGATGGTGCATCAGGGGGACTGTTGGGAGTGAAGGGCTGGATGGCTTTGCTGGAGCTCTCTTCTTCTGTCCCTATGAGCTGCAGGTCAGAACTCATCCCTGTGGGGAGTTCTATTGAAGGCAGGAATTGAGAGTGGAATGAACCCACTGCAGTCCAAGCAGTGTGTTTGAGCCAGGACACACATCTCCCAGGATCACCTGGCACAGCCTCTAAGAGCAGAGCAGAGTCCCACTTGAGTCTCTACAGGCTGCAAGAAATCAGGAAAATAAAATGAGGTATTGGCCCTCCAGGGTCTCCTGGGCAGCTCAGGGAGCCAGGAATGAGGCTGGGCACGCAGATGAGAACTCCTCACTCCATAACTCCATACTCAGAGTACTGGTCCGTTTTCTTCTGCCACTGTTGTCATTCTCCATTTTTGGAGATTGTTTCAGAGAGAGGAGAACCAGTGATTTAGAGCTACAAAAATACTTGAAGGCTTAAAGAAGATTTTTATATTGTCTAAAGCCAAGTGACTGAGACTGATCATGTCCATGCATTTATAGTTTAGGTTGTCTTTTTACGCATCATTTCCACTTCACTGTCCATTTGTATTTTTCTTTTTCACTCACTCCTGACAATGGAGGATTGAGGAACTGATCAATTTTAAAACAAACCTTTTTATTTTTTTCCTTTCTTTCAAGCTTTGTTTTAACCCTGTTCTGGTGGCTGCTCTGTTGTACAGATATTTGTGCCAGCAAAGGGAAGGGATGATCCAGGAAAGGCAAGGCTGGTATAAGCTAGGACTGACACAGAAAACATTTGGGAAGTTAATGTACAGGACACCATCCACAGCAGTTAAATGGGAATTAGTTTTCATCTGGTGAGCTTGGGCTGAGCCTTAGTATTAGAGGCAACACAAGGTGGTCTAAAAGTTCAAGGATTGATTGTCCACTAAGTAATCTGAGGTGTGACATGCTTCACAGTTTCCTGGTAAGAAGGTTTGCTGCAGAAGATGGATTCTGCACTACAGGATCAGTGTTTTTAAAGAATACATATTTCCAGCTCTGGAATTGAGAAAATGTTTTAAAACTGAAGATAATGTACCAAGCCCCACTGTCCCTACCTGATTCCTACTGCAGTCCCAAAAGCATCTCTGGGCCATGCCTGTGTTTTGCCAATTGAAGTAAATCAACTACAGATAGAAAGTTGGAAAGGAAGATGAGAAAGGTAATACAGCCTTGATACTAACCTCATATTAACCCCAAGGATATCACTGTCTTTGTTATTTGTTATTTGTTTCAATGTACAATTTAAAAGAGAAAACAAGCTGCTGTAGATCTTCTGATTTTCCACCCTGCTTCCCCAGAAGGGCCTAAAGTCCATCTGCCTTTCACAGCAGAGTTCAGCCTACAGAGGAGCTGAGTGGCCACCTGCAGGGAGGCTTGCTCCTGCTCAGGACAGACAGGTTTTTAGTCAGGCATGGGGAAAAGGAGCAAAAACAAGTGTGGAGGATGAGTGCCTGTCCTGGACACAACTGTGTGCCCCACAAAGGGACACTAAAGAGTCCTTCCCAGAGGAGCTGTGTGGCCTGTGCACTCTTCACTCTGGTGAGAAGCAGCCCTGTGGGTAGCCCCAAGTCCTGCCACCCCTGGAGTAGAGTTTGGCATGACCTCTGCATAGCCCTGAGCATCTGTTCCATCATAGCATTTCCTGACAGTTTACATCCAGATCAAATTGTTTACAGGGAAAGGAAGAATAGGAGCTGAATAATAAAATTACTGACAGGATTTGGAGAGTTTCCTGGGACCACCACTTGGGGAGCAATCTTTCATGCTTACTCCATGCATGGTATCTCTGTACACAGAGTTTTTCTGACAATGAGTGTTACATCAAGTATGATCCATGTTCTATTGCTGCTGGGTTATGACTTTCGTGCTAATTACCTGCTTTCTGTTAAGTGTCTAAATAAAATGTAACTTCCAACCTGTTGGAAGTCAATGGTACCCAGCTGTTGGGGTGTCTTTGCTTCTGCCTTATCACTAATGTTCCCCCAAGCCCTGCATTTCTCCTTCTCCATGGTATTTCCTCCAGACCTGGGGTGACAGCAACCACCCTTCCAGCAGAGATGGAGCACAGCTGATCCTGACAAGAGGGTCAGACAAAAACCAGAGGAGCCCCTCACTGAAGGGATGTCACAGGCTGCCCCTGGAGTCCTCACGGGGTGTCACTCAACCCAAACATGAGTGCAACATAAACATCTGTTTTTCTCAAGCCCTTCCAATGATCTTGTCCCAAGCAGAGCAGAGCCTGCAATCTGTCTTTGCCACACTCCTGCTTGGGGTGTGCTCTGCCCTGCACCCATCATTTACCCCCAAGCAGGAACAGTCTGGACTGAACAATGTGAGATTCTGGGGCTGAAGTGTTTTATGCACATTCAGAATTTCTGTTGATCTGAATTAACAACTGCTAACACTAGAAACATCTTTTCTTGGACTCTGAGAAGTTTATAGGCAACAACCATGTGATGAGATGTAGCATCTGAAAACACCAGAAAGAAAAAGATCTTCCCTTTAAAGAATGATTGGTGAATACACTCCAGTGAAACACTTACCTGCTGGACATCAGCATCATAATGCATCCACTGGAGTGGGAAATGCATGTGCCATGCTGGACACTGTCTACTAGAGAAACAAGTTAGACTTCAGATATGGCATATAACAGAAATCAGAGCTAAAAATGTTTCTGGTGTCTCTAAAGAAATACAAGCTTAACATAATTGAGAAAATCACTATTTAGAGAAAAAATCCCAACTTAAAACTAGTTGATCTGAAGTATTTATTTCCAAGGAAATAAATTTTGCTACTTGTACTGATTTCCATTTTCATACTCCTTTCCAGAGACACACCCACAGCACACTTTCAAATCAGACTGATGCCAAGGTATCACAAAGACCCAAACCAGGTTATAAAAGGCACAGCATAACTCTATGGTCATGCTTCTCCAGGATGCTGGGAGGTAACTTTTTTTAAAATATCCAGTTATTATCTAATTACTAACTGGTTATTCAAAGACCATTAAGAGGACTCAGGTGCCAGATGAATGTTGGGAGAACCAAGTAGAAGGACTCAGGAACATCAAAAGAAGTGATGAGAGGATGAGGTTTGAATTAGGAGAAGCAGCCCTTCATGCAATGAGTAGTCCACTGTAGAGCCTTTGTCAATGGCTGTTGAAGATGCTAGAACTGGCTCAAGGACAAACTACTGGGAGAAAAAGTCTTTTAAGTCTTGCTAAAGACATAAACTGTGCTGAAAAATATTATAGGCTAAGAGAATATAGAAAGGAAGTGACTGTATGTGTCTGCCATATTCCCACAGTCTTTCTTGCCTATCCTGTCACAGCCACAGCGGTGACAAAATTTTTGGAAACAAGATCCTTGGTTGGATGCACCAAAGGGCTGGTCCATACACACATGAACTGTAAAGAGTTTCAGGCAGTTTTCTTAGGTCTATGGAGCTTAGATCTAAGCATGAAAGAAAGTTTTTTACCTCAATTTTCTGTGTGGCTCCTGCACTTGCTTTGATGGTTATGTGATTCTGTTACCCTGGCTTACATGAAAGATGTAAGAGATGTTTTGTTTCTAAAATAGTTAGGATTAATAAACACAGATTTGTGGGAATGAGGAATGGAGCTTCTGCTTTCTCATATAATGGAAAGCTGTTCTCAGAAACATTTCTCATTTTCTCCCTTGAAGTACTTGATTGAACAAAAAATACACCATTTTCTGCCTTTTAATGTCCATAATGCTAGTTCCATCCCCTGTCAAAAAAAAAATCTCTTACAGAAATTTATTTAGAAAAAAAAATTCTCACAGATTTAATTGTCTTCTAATAAAAGAAGAATAATCCAATAGCAATAGAAATGGGAAGGTTGGTGGGAATGAGAAAGGAATGGCAATGGGTGGGTGTGAGGCACCAGAAGGGACCAAAGGCAGGAGACTGTAGGTGAATGCTGCAGGATTGGCAGATGCTGGTGGGAACCCTTTGAGGATCTTCCCAAGATGCCAGCACACACAGTGTGCTGCTGTCTGGAGACAGGAAATGAAGGACAGGGAGTGAATCCTGGTAGCTCCCAGGGTTGGGGCAGGATGGACGGTGTAGCTGGTACCAGAAAAGGTACAAAAGGCACATCCAGAGCCAGCACATGTCACCAATTCAAGAGCAGCACAGGAAATGTGATGCAGACATGAGGGCATCATCCCTCATGCTCAGATCGCAAAGTTGGGCACGCATATCCTGCCTGCTGGTCAGACAGCTTGGATACAGCCATCTCATGAGGGTGCTGCTGCTGTAAAATAACTGTGTCTGCCTACATGGAGACAAAGTCACCTCCTATAGGGATTTGTGTTCAGTTTGCTACACTGTGGCTGCTCATCAATCTTTTGGGTACATCCAGCCTTGGGTCAGGAAAACCTTCTCATCTTCTGGGCACTGCTCCCATTTATGGGCCATTAAACCTCCTTGTAATCAGGTGTGGAGAGAATTCTTTATACAAAGTACAGCCCTATTTGCCAAGACTTAGAAAAATGTCCAGCACCACTTTTCAAATAAACCAGGAGGTGTTTCAGACCTGATCTGCCCCATGGATTCCACACATTCTGATGAATACCATGCCTGCCTCTGAAAAACTCACTCTGGGCAGGAGAGCTACGAGCACAGCTGATACAAGCACCCAGTGTGCAATCTTTGCCTGACACTGCCTGGAAGTAAAAAACAAAAAAGGAGGGAACATAAGTGCACCACACTGAATTTCACTAAAGTGAAGGAAATGTGAGGGTATTCAATGTGAAGGAAATGTGAGGGTATTTTTTTTTTTTTTGGTAGGCTTTTGGTTTGTTTGGATTACCATAGTATTCAAGGGATTCAAGGAAGCCTGGTCTTGCAGGCAGAGATGGAAAGAGGCTGTTGAACTGCTCCATCCCAATAAAACCTGCCCTTGCACAAAGCTTTCTGAGGCATGACTAAGTTATAGCAAAGTGGGAAGCCTGTGACAGTAAGGGCTGCCTGAGCATGCTGAGAGGAAGATGGTTGCTTTGTTGGGAGGTTGCTTTTTTGGGACGAGCATGTATCTCACAACTAATTTCTCCTGTCATCAAGGTAATAAAAAGTCTGACTATTGACTTCAGAGATGCAGGATCTGCCCATCTCTTCCACAAACACCCTGCAAATGCTACATCCACTGTGCTCACACTGAGTCCACGCTGCTTTCCTGCTGACTTGCACTCTGGCCCTGGGTCAGAGCCAAACAACTGCCGCTTGAAGTGGAGCTTCAAGTAGAAGCAAAAGCATAAAATCAGAATTCATCCCCCAGTGCCTCTTGCAGCTTGTTTTGTAGTGAAAGGACCGAGACACCTCACGCTGCAGCTGATCTTGGCCAACAAAAGCTGTCCCAGCGGGTCTGCCAGCATCCACCGGCAGTCACTGAGCAGGAGGGAGCCCAAGCTCCCTTAGCAGGGATGGTTCGGCACAAAGAAGCGTTCCCAGCTCAGCAGCAGGCATCTCGCTCCTCTGGCATCACGCCTCTCCTCAGGTTTTAAATACAAGGGGAAAAAAGTCCCTACAAACCCCTGATTCTGTCAATCCCCTGAACAAAGGCCTGAAATGCTCTTTCTGGCATTTCAGTGTCTTTGGATGGAAAAGAGAGAGCTCAGGATTGCACGCACCATCACTTTCAGAGCCGGCTTGGCTGATGGGTCACCTCCTGCGGTACCTGCTGGCTGCAGGAGGATGCAGCTGCAGGAGGATGCAGCTGCAGGAGGATGCTGAGCGCCCTGAGCTGCAGCAGGGCCGGGGCCAGCAGCCATGTGCATGCAGGGTGAGCAGGGGCCTCCCTGCCCCAGGGAAGCTCAGCCGTGTTTTAAAGGGATTAGACGTGCATAGATGGCAAGAAGGATTTTCATAACAAAAGATTGAATAGATGCAAGTTTGCAAGCAGCAGTAGCTCTCTGCTTTATGGGAAAGTTACACTAGATACAAAGAAACCGCAGGAAGAAATCTTATCCCACCCTGCCAGCTGCTGTGGGGCTTGCAGCATCCTCAGAAACAGCCCAGACCTGCTGGTCCAGGCAAGGAGCCCTCCCTAGGCAAAGGCAGAACAGGAGGTCATGCCCTAGCTGCCCTACTCATGCAAACGAAGAGTCAGTTCAGACTGTTCTGAAAGAAATACTCAGATTTTGGAAATTTTTCATCTTTTTTTGTTTGTTTGTTTCTGTTTTGGTTTTTCTGTTTCTTTTGCTTTTGTTTTTGTTTGTTTTGCTTTGTTTATAATTTACCATTTTGATAAAATTGTTCATGTTTTCTTTGAGCTTTAACCTGGCTGTGGGTAGCTTTGACGCGCAGCTACACAACTGTCAAGGAGCAGGCAACAGCTCTGAAAGTGGTGGGGAAAATGTGAAGGCAACCCCACTATCAGCAGTTTTGCTTCTGGGAACAAAGATGCCAAAGCATCTGTGCCTGTACAGGGCTGAACAGCTTTCTGCTGATGTTCTCTCTGTTTGTCTCTATCAAGCTGTCTTAAGAAACGCAAGAGCAAGGAGCCACTGCTTGCTCACTCAGTGCTATAGCTCAGGGGAAAAAAAAGCACTCTGATTTCTTCCATCTGGTTGGCTGTGTGGGAAACAAGACTCTTACCTGCTAGCATCTGAGGAAATGCTGGCTGCAGCCAGCTGCTTCCCAACACATGACCCCTGGCCCTGCCATTATTCCTATTCCTAACCTGGGGCACATCTTTCTACCCCACTGCTGAGCCTGGACAGCTATTTGGGAAAAAGAAATCAAGTAAAACAAGTGTAGGAAGAAGCAAGCATTTCTGAAGCAAAGAATAACAGAGCAGTACCCTAGAAACTGTTTTTACAAAGTTAATGATTAGTGAGGAAGTGTGTGTGACTTGGAGCAGAAATCCATTCCCCACTGAGTGCCATCTCTTCCAGGCTCCCCACCATGAGT